GTCTGTTCATCATGAGCAATGTCATCTCCCCATTCTCATCTTAAAACCCTGCTACATCGTCCCCATTTTCTCCTCCATTGTTTAGTCTCTGAAGAAGGGGTGGCCTTCTTCTTACCAAGGCCAATGCCTTGATTTGTGTCTCGGATCCCACCCCGTCTTCTGGAGGAACGCGCCCCGTTAGTCATTCTCTCCTTCATCTTCCTCCTTCCATCTTCAATCTCTCCCTTATCCTTTGGTTCTTCCCTGATTCCTAGAACCACACCCCTGTCTCTTTCATGCTTAAGAAGTTTGACGTGACCCTGCCCTATCTCCTCAAACTGTCATCCTAGAGCTCTTTTCCTTTTCATAGTCAGACTATGAGGTCCCGGCATCTACAGTTATCGCCATCACCTCCTCACCTTGCCTCTGACTCTTCACATCTGTGCTGTCGGCTTTGGCCTGAAACAGCTCCCTCGAAGGATGCCAACAAACCTCTCAGTGCTTCTTGATCAGCTAGGTGGACCAGTGGATAGAGTGCTCAGCCTGGAGTCAGGAGATGTGAATTCAAGTCTGGCCTTAGACACTTAGTAGCTCTGGGACCTGGGGCAAATTATTTAACTCCTGTTTGCCTCAGTTTCCTCAACTGTACAACGGGGATAATAATAGCACCTCTCTCCCAGGGTGGTTGTGAGGATCAAATGAGATAATATTTGTAAAGCAGCTTAGCGTAGTGTCTGACACGTAGTAGGTGCGATACAGACATTGGTTATTATTAGTGTGGTCTCCCTGATGCCCTTGACACTGTTGTCTTCTGGTTCTCCTCCTCTCTCTCTGAGCACTCCTCAGCTGCACTTTCACCCACATCCTTTCATGAAGGGTGTACTCTCTGGTTATTCTCCTACCTGAGCTCCTCAGCCCCCGTGGGCTCAAATCTCATCTCTGCATAGATGACTTCCAAGTCTGCACCCCATCCCTCATCACTCTCTCCTGAACACTGTTCTCACAGCGTCTCTGCCTGGGTGTCTTGTAGGCATCTCGAGATCAACACCTAACCCCACCTTCCCCCTCCAAACGTCTGCATTTCTATGGAGCATCCTACCAACCTACTCACTCACTCAGGCTTCCTTACACCTCCCTGCCCACATTCACACAGCTGAAATATCTCCCTTCCTACTTTCACAATACTTCCCACATTCTTCCCCTTCTCTCTGCTTGTACAATCTCCTCATTCAGGCCTCCGTCCCACTTACACAGGACTATAGCTGTAGCCTCCCCCTCATCTCCCTGGGTCCAGTCCATCGATGCCAGAATGGTCTTTCCAAAGGACGGTGATGTCCATGTTGTCCAAGGGTCTCCTTGTTACCCAATTATTCTGAAATAAAATACAAACCCTTCATCTCGCCATTTAAAAATAGTCACCATTTGGCCTCGGGCTGCGGTTCCCGTGTGTTTCTCTGCCAACTCGACATTCTAGTCAAAATGGCCTCCGGGCCACAGGCCTGACTCGACCTGCCGTGGCCACTCTGTGCGGGCCTTTGTCTGGCCATCCTTCAGGCTTGGCATCCACTCACCTTCCAGCCCTGCCTCAGAATCCTGGATTTCCTTCGGGTCCCTGCTCTGCTGCCTCTGGGGCGTCAGGGCCTCTCCCTCCTCCAACTGTCTTGACTGTCTTTATCTGTGTACGCAGGTCTCGGTAGAATATCCATTGTCCTTGGGCAGGGTAGCACAGTGGATAGAAAGCTGGCCTCGGACCTTTCACAGCAGGGCTCCATTGCACTGGGGAAGCCTGGGCAAGCCCATGTGATCTCTCAAGATCTGGGCTGCCCTTGAGGGCAGGTCCTCATCTGCCTCATCCTGAGCTCTCCCCAGTATCTTGCATGATGTTTGGCATCCAGTAGGTGCTTAATAAATGCTGGCTGTGGATTGCGTTGAAGCCATCCATTGGCCACTCAGTAATGGACTCCAGTCCAGAGGCCCAGGCAAGGAGGGAGAGCGTTTCACCTACTTGGCTTTCTCTGCCCTGGGACCCTGGGCAGCCCTGCTTAATGAGCTCACCCCGGCTGACCCTGCTCTGACTTCCATCCAAAGCCCCCCCCCAGCTGTTGTCATCTGAGAGCTGCTTTTCTGGCCAGCCTCTCCCCAGGCCTGGACTGTGGCCCCCAGGGCCCCCAAACCCTCTGTCTGCCTTCTGGGAGAGTTGGAGTCCCTCTTCCCTGAACCCTGGAGAAGCTTTTGATGGTGAACAGAGGTCAAGCTGGGCCACAAGCAGGCCACCTAGTTCTAGAGGGAGCATAGATCCCTTCCCTGCCTTTGGGAGGCTGACCCAAATACACAGAGCCCTGGCTCTGCAGTCAGCGGCCTGGGTTCAAATGCCACCATGGCGGCCACTCCCTGGCCAAGTCCGAGGCCAGGCCTTGGCTTCCTCATCTATGAAATGAAAGTATTGGCCCCTTCCCACTCTGGGTCTATGAACCATCAATCAACAAGTATTAGGTGCCTGCTGTATACCAGTCACACCGTGGTCAGCCCTGGGAAAGTACATGAGAAAGACCGTGAAGCCGTGCCAGGTGAGGCTCCAGGGGAGACCATCCCTGGGTCAGGGATGGTGAGGAATCTGGGAGAGGAGGAGGGAGCAGGAAGGACGTAACATTGGGGGGCAGGGCGCAAAGGTGGGGAAAGGACACAGTCTTCTGGGGTCAGAGAGCACTTCGGCTGAAAGTGCGTGAAAGGGGCTAATGGGGGTGATTGGGCAGCTCCAAAAGCCTTGTGAGTCTGCCGGGGTCTCGGCGGTGATGTCCTGTGCCACAGAGAGAATTTTCTTGGATTGTTCTTGAACTCAAATCCAGGGAGATACTGTGACACCAAAGCCCCCCAAATGGCCCTGTGAGAGGGTCCCCAGCGTAGATCCTGGGGACGGTGTGAGAGTGGGGTCTGGGCTAATCATCACACGCCAGTGGTGTGCCTTGAACCTATGTCAATGAGCTTGTGGGGAAAGGAGGTGGGGGATGGGGACAAAATAGGCCTGAGATGGATTCTGTGCCCGGGCGGCAAGCAGATGAATTGATCGGGGTCATGGGCTCATGGGGAGCAGGGCTGGACGTTTTCTGCTCCTTGGTCTGGGCTAGGCCCTGATCTAATTCAGATTGGACCGCCCTCAGCCCTCTTCTCGTGCCCCATAGTTTCCCACTTCCATGCTTTTGCTCGCTGAACATTGCTGGCTTACACGATGGCAGTGAGACTAAGAATGTTCACTCACAGGCTTGAGAAGACCCCCAATGCTTCAGGGTCCTCTGTAGGAAATGATTGGAAGAAGCCTGACTCTTCCCTGGGGCAGCTCTGTCACACAGTGGATAGAGCACCTGGCCTAGAGTCAGGAAGACCTGATTTCAAATCCAGCCTCAGACACTTACTAGCCGTGTGTGACCTTGGGGAAGTCACTTTACCCTGTTTACCTCCATTTCCTCATCTGTAAAATGAGCCGAGAAAGAAAAGGTAAACTCCTCTAGTATCTCTGCCAAGAAAACCCCAGATGGTGTCACAGGGAGTCGGACACACTGAAATGACTGAACAAGGACCACTGTTCTCTGAACGCTTTCATCAATGACACTTTTGCCACGTGCGTGGACTCTTCTCGTGAGGTCTTTGTAGAGATGGAAAAGTCAGACTATTATTAATAGCTCAGGAGTTACTGGTATCAGTGTAGGCACCTTCGGGGGTGGGAGTATTCTGGCACCATTGCAAACCTTCTGATACCTTTTTCTCTTGGAAACGTCCCCAATATTGATTCTCCGAGCCTTCCTAAATGTCTCGCCTCCAGTGCGGGTCTCCATGTCCTTCCCAATGTCACCCTCCGGGGTGCTGGAAAGGCTGACTTGGTGAGCCCGGAGACAGAGACTCCACTCCCCTTGGAGACGCTGGCCAGAGGATGTTTGCTCTTCTGGTTCCCCGGGCGTCGGGGCAGCCCGGCTGGGCCGCTCTCCTGTGCCCTCTCCCAAGCCTGATGATCTGTTCTCTCCCCGGCTGCGCATGTGCCACCATTCTCTTCCATTACATTGGAAAACGTGGCCTTCTGCTTGATAAGGAAAGCTGGTGGCTGCTGGCAGAGATCCTTTGTGGGCTCTTGGACCTCGCCATGTTGGTGATGGATTCCTTTGCCTCCAAACCCACTCTGCAGCAAAGGGTGATCTCTGCAGCCCGCTGTATCTCCCCTCCTGGCTGCCCTGGCTTCCTTCAAGACCCAACTCATGTCCCACCTCTTCCAACAAGTCCTTCCTGATCCCCACCATGCTGGGGCCTTACCCCGACTTTATCCTTGTCTGTACAGAGTCGTGCCTCGCCGTCCTCCTTAGGCGGGAAGCGCCTCCAGGGCTTTCTGTCCGACTGGGTATCTTCACTGAGCACTCAGCTGACCTGCATGTTCCCTGGTCTGGGAGTCTCCCAGGTAGCTGCATGTCCTGGGGAAAGAGCCTGACCTGTCCTCTCCACAGCGGCATAACTAATTCTGACTTCTGCACAGAGCTCTTGGGAAGATTGGGGGAGTCTCTGGAGGTGAAGGGTCACGGAATGGATAAGAGGCCAGCTTCTTCCCTTTTCCAAATGAGGAAATGCAGGCAGGGAGTGGCAAAGGCAAGGTGCGAACCCTGGTCTCCCAAGACCTAATCCAGGGCTCTTTCCCCTCAAGTAATAGGAGAATAGAAATTCAAATTCATAGAGCTTAGGGCCTAATCAGAAAGACCTGAGTTCGAATCCAACCTCAGACCCTTCCCAGCTGGGTGACCCTGGGCAAGTCACTTTACCTGTCTGCCTCAGACTCCTCACCTGCAAATGGGGATAATGACAGCCCTTCCTTCCCAGGGTTGCTGAGGGTCAAACGAGGTCATAATTGTAAAGTGCCTGGCACATACTACAGAAATGTTAGTTGTTATTATTATTAATTATTATTATTATTATTACTCCTGGCTCTGGGCAATTTTATGAATCCCAAACATTTCCATTTTCCAGAAAATTCAGTTAACCAGAAGAAGCAGCCCATGCCCTAGTCATGCTGGATAACTGAGCTCTAAGAGGTATGGGGCAGGACAGAGTTTGGTTGGGGTGTCGTGACTGGACGATGGATCCACTGAGCGGAAAGGAGGAAGGGAAGAGGAAACCTTCTCCTCCTCCCCTCCTCCTGGGCTGACCATGACTTCCGTGTCCTGCAGCCTGGCAGCTGTCCCTGGGCCTCTACGTTTCACCCCGGCTTCCTTGTCCTAGAAAAAAAAAAAGAAAGAGGAAAAGATAATTCTCCATGGGTCCTCGGGGTTAGAGAAAACACTGGGGGTCAGAGTGGGCAGGGTTGCTCTCCTGTTAACTTGCCCCGGGCACATGCCAGGCTTGAATTTGGGCAGCTGGGGCCAGGGCCAGAGGAGAGAATGGCTGGAAAGCCTTCAGGGGAGAGGAGAGGATTCTGAGCCAGGGTCCCAGGGTGACCCGGGGACTCCAGGCTCAGCAGCTAGGGTACAGGGGGAAATTTCAAGTCTCCTGCTTAAGCCAGCATTGGGAGAATGGGCAGCCTTGGTGGACCCGGCTCTTGTGGAGGCAGGGAAGGAGGTGGGGGGAGGGTCAGAGATTCACCATTATTCTTTTTGTTTTCCTCAAAAGACACAACTTCCCAGCCTTCTCAAGCAGTTGGCTCAGAGCCTGTGAGAAGAGGGAAGGGGGGGCCGTGGCTCACCAGAGCCTTGGTGGCTGGCTGCTGGCCAGCAGGGAGGAGACCCCTCAGCAGCCAATGGGACAGCCACTAGACCGCGGGACAGATGCCTGGGGGGTCCCCAAAGACTGGCTCAGTTGGTAGTTGATAAAATGGGGTCTCTTTACTGTGGTCCTTTTGGCAGCTTAACAACTTGTGTGTGTGTGTGTGTGTGTGTGTGAGAGAGAGAGAGAGAGAGAGAGAGAGAGAGAGAGAGAGAGAGAGAGAGAGGGAGTAGGGGAGAGAGAGAGAGAGAGAGGGGAGAGGGAAGGAGTGAGAAGACAGAGGGAGGAGGAAGAGAGAGAGGAGAAAGAAAAGAGAAAGGCAGAGAGAGAAGAGAATTACAGTGAGGGAGAATAAAAGAGGGGGAAGAAAGAAAGAACGAAAGTGTGTTTGAGAAAGAAACAGAGATCAAAGTGAGAGAATGAGATGGGAAAGGAAAGAGTGAAAGTGAGCATGTGTGTGAGAAAGAGGCAGAGAGGGAGAATCAAAGTGAGAGAATAAAAGAGAGGGGAGGGAGGAGGGAGAATGAAAGTGAGCGTGAGAAAGAGGGGAAAGGGAGGGGGGAAGGGGGTCTTAGCAACAGAGTTTCCTTTGTGGAAAAGAGCCCACAGCCCTCAATTTGAGAGCTAGATTCCGGGAAAGAAGTGGAAAGTTAATGCTTCTTCCGTGCCAGCGTGGAAGGTCTTAGGAAGTTCTGATTTTGCCTCAAAGTAGAGTTCATCTCACCGAACCCGGTGACGGCCGCCCTCCCCTCTCCCCTAAACCTTCTTTCTGAAATGACTTTTCAACTCTTGTCTGTTGGCAGTTTTTTGCTTATTGTCTCCTGCTGCTAGACTGTGAACTCCCTGAGGGCAGGGACCTTACTAAGCATCCCCAGGATTTAGCCCAGTGCTTGACTGACTGACGACTGTGGGACCCTCCTCTCCAAATACTGTCCAAGCCCTGGCTCTACCCTCTGACTCCCAGGTGCTGAGTCCTCCAGCCTTCACTGACCATTCTATTCTCTCTCTCTACCCAGCTGGCCCAGGCAGTGGGCACCTAATGCTTTGCTCATGAACGTTTCTTGTGTCTTGTCTCCTCAGCTAGATTGGAACCTTTCCCAATCCAGTCCAATAATCCGTCAATCCTCAAGCACTATGAAGACCCTACTATGTGCTAAGCCCTGGGGATACAAAGAAAGGCAAAACAAAACAAACAAAAAACCCAGGCCCTGCCCTTGAGGAGCTCACAGTCTAGTGGGGGAGACAGCAGGCAAACATCTTTGTACAAATAAGCCCTTGCTGGATGCTCTGGAGATCATCCCGGAGGGAAAGCACAGAGATTAAGGAGGTCTGGGAAAGGCTGCTAGGAAGGAGGGAGTCCAAGGAAGCCAAGTTTGTTAATGCCTTTCAGTGCTAAAAAACCCGAGAGAGTCCAGAGCAAGAGAGGCAGCACTGGAGGCTCTGCCGATCTTCTGAAGATCTGAGCTAGGTCAAAGAGCTAGGACAACTTCACTTGGGGAAGCAGAGACACAAGTGACTCCTGACGGCCACTCCAAGCGTTGGAAGGGTCTGAGGGACCGTTGGCTTCCACCTTCCCTTTTACACGTTTATGATTTACTTAGCATTCTTTTCTTGTTACATTTTGAGTTCCAAATCCCGTCCTTCCTTCTCTTCCGGACCTCTCCTACCCACTGAGAAGGCAAGTAACATCATATCAATTAATTATATCTTGAAATCATGCAGAATGCTTCCATATTAGCCATGTCACTGAAAAAAATAGAGAAAATTATACTTCACGTGGCTCCCAGAGTTCGTCAGTTCTCTCTCTGGAGGTGGAGAGCATTTTTTCATCATGAATCCTTTGGAATAGTCTTGGATCATTGCATTGATCAGAGTAGCCAAGTCTTTACAGTTAATATCGTTACAATATTGCTGTTCCTGTGCACAATGCTCTCCTGGGTCTTCTCACTTCACTTTGCATCCATTCATGTAGGTCTCGCCATGTCTTTTTTTCTCCCTGGTCATTTTTCGTAGCTCAAGAGTACTCCGCAAACATGCCACAACTTGTTCAACCATTCCCCAATTGATGAGCATCCTCTCTCTTACCCCTTTCCTCTCTTATTTCCCTATTGGACAAGATAGATTGCTATACTCAACTGAGTGTGTATATATATTCTTCCCTCTTTGAACCAATTCCAACGAGAATGAGGTTCAAACATTGCCTGCCACTCCCTACCCCCATTTCCCTTCCACTTAAAAGCTCTTCCTTGCAAGCCTCTTTTATGTCAGAAAAATTTCCCCATTCTACCTCTCCCTTCCCCCCTGCTCCCAGTGCATCCCTCTTTCTCACTCCTTTTTTTTTTGAGATTATCCCAACATAATTGTCTCACATTCATGCCCTTTGTCTGTGTAGACTTCTTCTAATTGCCCTAATAATCATAAAGTTCTTAGAAGCTGCATGTATCATTTTTCCATATAGGAATGTAAACAGTTTAACGTTATTGAGTTTCATATGACTACTTTCATGTTTACCTTTTTATATTTCTCTTGAGTTTTGTGTTTGAATGCTAAATTTTCTATTCAGCTCTGGTCTTTTCATCAGGAATGCTTGAAAGTCCTCTAGTTCATCAAATATCCATTTCTTCCCTGAAGGATTATACTCAATTTTTCTGGGAAGGTGATTCTTGGTTGTAATCCTAGATCTTTTGCCTTCTGCAATATCATATTCCAAACTCCCTGCTCCTTTAATATGGAAACTGCTCAATCTTGTATGATCCTGACTGTGGCTCCATAATAGTTGAATTGTTTCTTTTTGGTTGCTTGCAATATTTTCTCCTTGACCTTGGAGCTCTGGAATTTGGCCATAGTATTCCTAGGAGTTTTCATTTTGGGATCTCTTTCAGGAGCTGATGAGTGGATTCTTTCAATCTCTATTTTACCCTCCGGATCTAGGATATCAGGGCAGTTTTCCTTTCTAATTTCTTGGAATATAATATCTAGGCTCTTTTTTTTTTTATCATGGCTTTCAAATAGTTCAATAATCCCCCCTCCCTACCCAATATATTTCTATTAATTTCATCAAGTATTTCTCAATTAAATGTAAAATTTGTTAACATTCATTTTTATAAAAAAATTGAATTCCAAATTCTCTCCCTTCCTCCCTCCCCTTCCCCTTTCTTGAGAAGACAAGCAATTTGATATCAATTATACATGTGGAGTAATGCAAAACTCCATATTAGCCATGTTGCAAAAGAAAATAGACAAAAAAGCCCCCAGAAAAATAAAGTTTAAAAAGTATGCTTCAATCTTCATCCAGATTCCATCAATTCTTTCTCTGGGGATGGATAGCATTTTTTATCGTAAATCTTTCAGAATTATCTTGGATCATTGCATTTATCACAGTATCCAAGTCTTTCACAGCTGATCATCGCACAATGTTGCTGTTACTGTGTACAACATTCTCCTGGTTCTGCTCACTTCTGATCACATCAGGTGTTCATGTAAGTCTTCTCAGGTTTTTCTGAAGCTATCCTGGTCACCATTTCTTATAGCACAATAGTTTTCCATCACAATCATATATCACAACTTGTTCAGCCATTCTCCAGTTGATGGGCATCCCTGCAATATCCAGGTCTTTTCCACCACAGAAAGAGCTGCTATATATATTATTGTACACGTAAGTCCTTTTCCCTTTTTTATGATCTATTTGGGATAGAGACCTAGTAGTGGTATTGCTGGATCAAAGGGTATGCACAGTTTGATTGCTCTTTGGGCATAGTTCCAAATTGTTCTCCGGAATGGTTGGATCAGTTTACAGCTCCAATAATGCTTAAGTGATCTCTCCTTGATCTATTTTCCAGTTCAGTTGTTTTTTCTGATGAAATATTTCACATTTTCTTCTTCTTTTTTTCATTCTTTTAACTTTGTTTTATTGTTTCTTGATGTTTCATGGAATCATTAGTTTCCACTTGCCCAATTCTAATTTTTAAGGAATCATTTTCTTCAGTGCTTTGTACCTCTTTCCATTTGGCTAATTCTACTTTTTAAGGAGTTTTGTTTTTGTTTGTTTGTTTATTTTTGTTAGGCAATTGGGGTTAAGCGACTTGCCCAGGGTCACACAGGCTAGTAAGTGTCAAGTGTTTGGTCTGAGGCCGGATTTGAACTCAGGTCGTCCTGACTTCAGGGCCGGTGCTCTATCCACTGTGCCACCTAGCTGCCCCGGATCATCTCTTTCTGACCAGTTGTATAAGTCCATTATGATCTCTGGGCTGAGAACTCTCGAAGCTGCTGCTGCTGCTACTTCCGTGACCCGTGTCTCATGTGGCCACCATGTCCTCTCCAGGCTGGTTCCCACCCCAGTGTCATAGACCTTTCCTGCTACTTTCTAGGGTGTCTTAGGATGGAAAAGTGTCTCTTTCTGACCTTTCTTTGGCTCTGCCACTTCAAAATTTGATTTGAGGAGTAATTTTAAAGTTGTTTGGAGGGTAATGTTGAGAGAGTTCAACCATGTTGCTGCTTGTACTCTGCCATCTTGGCT